CTTTTGTGATGTGGTAAGCATGATGAAGTATTGGATCAATTGAGAATAGGAGATCTTTATATTTGATCAGAAATTCTTTTGAACATAATCCATTTTTTGTTATAATTGTTGTGTCACAAACTACTTGAACAGTTTTTAATTCTGTACATGTATTGAGGGTTGTTAGATCTCCTAACCATGTACTATGGGTTCCATGTTTAGATCCAAGTATTGTTGGTAGTTGAGGTGATAGTGGTGTAAGTAGGGCTATCATCTTGTTTCTCATGATAAATTCTTTGCATAAAAGTTGTGAAACTTGTTTAAAAACTGTTTGTAAATTTTGAAAATTTTTGTCAATATTGTTTAGTAGTGCAGCTGTTCTTATAGCATCTTTTATATTTATTTGGTGTGATTCTGGAATCTCTATGTTTTCTAATTGTTTCCTCTTCCATTTGTGATTTATTGGTTTTCTTTGTAAAAGTGTATATTTGCCATTTTCTGTATGAATTTGAAATTGTGTATCTTTTGGCTTTGATACCAAATGTTCATGTTTGGGAGTGGGTTGAAAGTAACTGGTTTTTTGTCCAATTCAAAATCTTGTGATCTTACTGGTCTGGCAGGTTTTAGCTTTGTTGTTTTCAGCATTTTTAGTATGTATTTGTTGTGAATATCCCAGATGTCTGGGAGAAATAATTTCTTTGACAAACCAAGTCCTCACTAATGGTGTTGCATGATTTTTTATCAGCATATGGTAGGTTTTGTCACCATCTCTATACCAATCATTATATGTTAAAATATCTTGTATTTCTGTGACATTGGCCTTTCTTAGTGATGATTTCTTTCCAATATATTTCTCCAATCTATTAACTTCTTTATTTGAAATGATCTTGTATTTTGTATCCTCTATTATTTTATTGTCAGCATAATTAGAATTTGTAAGATCAGTTCTAAGTAAGTCATATTCTTTCTGGGGTACCAATACTCTGGTACCAGGACCACCATATCCTTTGATATATCTGTCTTGGTAAGGTAAATCCATTATTGCATAGTTGGGGCAGGAAAAATATCCTCCAAGTTTTACACATTCCACATTATGGGAAACTATTTTCCATGGTGAAACATGGCCTAGAAGACTTTGGCCTTTTTCTGGATTAAATATAATGATTGAATCCAAAGTTCTACAAAATTTTTGTTTAATAGAACAGTCTTCTAAATATTCCAAATTTGTGGTTATTTTATCTTGACTTGGATTCCAATAAGCCTTGCCAATTTGAAGGATTGTTGTAAATTCTTCCACCACTGTGGTTCTTGCCATTTGTAATTTGGTCCTTTGTTTTCATTATACATAAGAAGTTTGCCTTTTTCAATTAGGTTTTGTCCATTTAAGGTTTTGTGTGTGTATAGCATTGTTCTGCATTGTTTTTCACTTAAGGCAAGTGTTTGTTTTCAA